TATACTCTGGAGTCTTCCAGCGTTCACTATTCCAGTGCTAGAGAGGTAGGAAATACCACTAGACTGATAAGACAGCCCATTTTCTGACACTCTGTGTTAGAAGGTAGAATTCAGTGACACGGGATGGGAGCTTCTTATGTTCAATCCAGCCTAATTCTTCTGCCCAACCCATTTTAATTTTGCCTCTGAGTCCCCTGGAAAGAAAAGAACTGCTCCCTTAGTAGCATTAAAGCCAAATCTACCATCTTTACTGGTGAAGTTTTGGTTTGTTACAGGTTTGACCAGGTCTCCTTGGCCTTTCTTTTGAGGCTATGAGGGAGCTCGTTTCTGCTTCCCAATTTGATGGAGTGGAAGCCTGACCACCTACTGACCTCATCTCCGTTGTGTGGCTGTTGATAACGTGCTTCTCTTTCCAGTGCTCCAGAAGCAAAGCGGAAATAGCATAGCTGAGTCCAGTCCCCATGCCCTTTCATTTGTGTCTGTTTTGAGACAATGTTGGAGACATTGGAAAGGAGAAGTTGGCCATCTTGTTCCACCTTGACAATTGAGAATTATAGATCTGAACGAAGGTTGTAATGAAAAGAGGAAACTTTGGTGTGGAAGCCTGAAATGGAAGTCCGTCATGGAAAATGAGAGCAAAGACCAGTTTCTCATACTTTTGGTACCATTGAATAACTGAGTCATTGTGATAGTTGGCCATGTTTTCAAAGACTACCAAGTAAGATGTAGTGGGGCAGGTCTCCATTGATGGGAATAAAGCCAAAAGCCAAGGAGTATCAGAGTAACTACTATGATACTCAGTTGGGAGAAGAGACAATTAGAGCAGGAGATATAGGCAATTAATTTAAGAATAATGACTCAAATGGCAAAAGAGGGAAGCAGTTAGAGGAAAGCTTGGGGTGAAAAAAGACAACTACAATGTGCCATTACTGAGGTTAGGTCCTAGAGCAAAGTGTTGGGAGGGGTTTGAAAGAATCCACATTAGCTAGGATATCACTGCAACCTTGAACAAAGGTCCGTTGTATGGTACACATGACATCTCTGTTCTGGCATTCAGAAATTTGGCTGAACCATGGAGACAGAATTCCTCCAGGGTCCTTGGCTAATTGGTGAAGAGATTGATTGGTCTTAAGAAATAGCTAATAGATTTGCAGCTAATATGAGTAAGTTAGTGCTCTAGAAGTTCATTAGAAGTAAGATATCTATCACTTAAAAACTAAGTAGGTGGGGGCAAGGACGAAGTAAATTATTTCCACTTTGGTCATACTGAGTGTTGAAGGTCTACTGGAAATCCAGGAAGTAGGGTTTGAGAAGGGTTGTCTAGTAAGGACACAAAGAGTAGGACATGGCCGTCCATGTTCATTCATTTAACAAAGATGTGTTAAGCACCTGTAGCAGGTAGCAGGTAACAGGCACTAACCTATTCACTAGAGATACAAACATTTATTTACTTATTGTTTTTATTGCTCTTTGTTGACTTAGGGTCTCACTCTGTCACTCAAGCTGGAGCGCAGAGGCACAATCGTGGCTCACTGCAGCCTCAACCTCCTAGGCTCAGGGGATCCTTCCACCTCAGCCTCCTCAAATGACAAAAGGACTACAGACACACACTACCTCGCCTGGTTATTATTATACTTTATTTTTATAGACATGAAGTCTCACTACATTGCCCAGGCTGGCCTCAAACTCCAGAGTCCAAGCACTGTCTTCCCTCCTCAGCCTCCCAAAGCGCTGGGATTACAGATATGAGGCGCTGAGCCTGGCCTGAGATACATATATGTCTGTGAAGTCTTCCTGCAGCTGAGAGCTGAGGATGGAAAGATCCAGAGGGGAGTGGGTCTGAAATAGCTCTCAGGGCCGGTCTCCACTGAAAGCGTCGGTCCTGCTTTCCTTCCCTCAGCTATTCGGCTTAATTCTCCTTACTTTCATATAACCTGCACCTTTGATGACCCCCCCTTTTTTTCTATTTCCAGATGTCAGACAGAATTGACTGGTTACAAAGTCAAAGTGAAGTATGCAGAGTCGATGTCTATTCACCTGGAGACAACCAATCCCCCAAGTGGAAATTGGTAAGGGTCAATCTCCTTCTAAGAATATGTGGGTGACATCAACAGTAGCCTAATCCTGTCCACCACATCACCTACCTCTTACTTTTGAAGGGGGGATTCTTGGTGGGGGGGGTGGCACGTGCTCCTACAGAGCAAAAAATTCTCATCTACGGTTTTCTGGAAGAAATATGCTTGCCATATGGTATTTAGTAGGCAAAATGTGCCATAAGTGAAGAATATATGTGTGTATAACAGTTGTAAAATGTTGTTTTTCAAATAAATAGGATTGAGGATAAGTGTCTTCAAGACTCACAAAAAATATTTTTTGAAAAGTAGGATGCCTTAAAATTCTCAGAACTATAAACTCTCATCTAAGTAACATATGGCCGGGCTCGGTGGCTAAACCTGTAATCCCGTGCCTTGGGAGGTCGTGGTGAGTCAATTGCCTGAGCCCACGAGTTCAAGACCTGCCTGGGCAACTTGGCGAGACCTCATCTCTACAGTAAATCAAAAATTAGCCGGGTATGGTAGTGCGCGCCTGTAGTTCCGGCTCATTGGAAGGCTGAGGCAGAAGGATCGCCGGAGCCCAGCAGTCGAGGCTGCCGTGGCCGGGAGCAGCCACTGTACTCCAGTCTGGGCGATGGAGTAAGACTCCAACTCAAAAAACAAACAAACAAACAAAAAGTAACATAGTTGTTCTGCCTTCATCATTCAAAGCAAACATTTACTAAATAGTGTTAGGTATTGTATCAGGCAGGGTCCAATCAGAAGATAAAAACCACACCAGTTACTTACTATTACAAAATAAATTACTAGGAAAAGGTGGTAAGTATTAAAGGGCACAGGAGAGGACTTAGGAATTCCAGAAATAACAAATACAGAAAGCCGCTACGACCCCCAAGCCGAGAGAGAGTAAATGAGTAACTCACAGGGGTGATCTCAGAAGTGGCAACAGCTACCTCTCCCTCATCCTAAGCCGTTTTGCATCTCTTTGAAAAGAACAGGGCTACCACGGGAAAACTGCCAGAGATAACAGGTGAACCAGCAGGGAAACATTTTCCTCCCAATATAACAGTACATTGCTCCCCAGTGCCTTTCACTGACTAATCCAACAGCCAAAAGAGAAATGTTTAAAGGTCCCAGCTGTAGAACCACAAAGCAAGTGGGGTTTGGAGGGAGAGACTAAAGGCACAGAAATCAGTAACTGCGATGTGTGGTGGGTCAGGTGACCAGAAATAAACTAGAGTCCTCTCCTTTTAAGCGTCTCACAATCTAATGGAATCATTTTGTGATTCTTGTCCTTCATATTAACTTTTAGCAAACACCTATTTGCGTGTAATGTTACATGACCCATCTTCTTCTATATGTCCAAAATCAATTTGGTCTGCCTATATATAGCCCGAAAGAAAAAACACTAACAAATCTACATAAGACATTAAGACATATAGATAATCAATATCCAGGTAGAATTAGGGCCAACTACAATTGCTTTTATTAGGTCTTTGATTTATTTCACTTTCATTTGGAGTAACAAAAGGCAGATAAGTTTCAATGTTAAATCAAATGAACATAAATTTATTGATTCATTACCAAGTGAGAAACACTCTGAGAGATACAAAAGGGAATTAAACAGTTTCTGCCCCTGGGGACCTTATTATTCATTTTGGAAAAATAAAAAATATCCATATGAAAATATAAATATAATTTAAATGCTCTAAATAACTCTTGGACGTTAATGTAAAGAAGTTCATGATTACTTGCCAAATGAATTTTCTAGGAAGTAACTGCTATGAGTATTTAAATGGGTCATTTCAAAACAATGTGAAGTAGCCAGAGAACTTGCATAAAGTTTATAAAATTGAAGAGAAATAAGACAGGAAGATCTGTAATTGACTTCAAACTAAGCTGCTGAAGCAAAAGATGGATGAGCAGAGAAAATAAACCCATTAACCCTTTTTATTTCTTTTTTTTTTTTTTTTGAGTTGGAGTCTCACTCTGTCACCCAGACTGGAGTGCAGTGGCTGCTCCCGGCCACCGCGGCCTCGACCTGCTGGGCTCCGGCGATCCTTCCGCCTCCGCCTTCCATGTAGCTGGAACTACAGGCGTGCGCTACTACGCCCGTCTAATTTTTGGTTTATTGTAGAGATGAGGTCTCGTCCAGTTGCCCAGGTGGGTCTCGAACCCGTGGGCTCAGGCAATCCACTCACCTCAGCCTCCCAAAGTGCTGGGATTACAGGCTAAGCCACCGAGCCTGGCTCCATTAACCCTTTTTATATTCAACTTCATGAGCATGAAAATTCGCCATGGTCTTCACAGTCAGAGATGATTGGGCACCCTGTTTTCCCAACTTCTCAGGATGCTATTGTGTATGAAGAGGTAGGTTTCCAGGGGGCAAAGGGGTTTGAGAAGATGCATGTCTAATTGTAGACTGTGTTGATAAGAAATGTGGTACTTGATGTTTCAGTCTGTCACTGAGGCTACATCAACCACTTTTGCAAAGTCCTGTGGATAGAGTGGAATAATGGACATAAGATAACACACATTTTAGATTTAAGAAAACATAAACAGTAAAATCCTGTAAGTGCGGCAAGTTAGCAAAACTCTAAGGACTCCATTGTAAAGCTCTTGGCTATACTATAGGGTTTTTTTTGTTTGTTTTTAGTGTTATGTATGTCTCAAACCTCAATGATGGGAGGAGATGGGACAAGGACTCCAGGGTTTAAGTCCCTTAGAACAGTGGTTTTCCACCTGAAAATCATCTGATAAGGCGAGTGTTTTTAAACATACTAATGCCCGTGAATCAGAATATCTGGGGGTGAGACTTGAGCACCAACAGTTATTTTCAAAAGTGGGTTTAACATGCAGCCACACTGAAAACCTCTTAGCCAGGTGTGGTAGCGCACCTGTAGTTCCAGCTACTTGGAAGGCTGAGGTGGAAGGATTGCCGGAGCCCAGCAGGTCGAGGCTGTGGTGGCCGGAAGCGTACCACTGCACTCCAGTCTGGGTGACAGAGTGAGACTCCAACTCAAAAAAAAAGAGAGAAAAGAAAAGAAAAGAAAAGAAAACCTCTAACTTATCTGGGCTTGGTGGCTCATGCCTGTCATCCCAGCACTTTGAGAGGCGGAAGCAAGAAGATTGCCTGAGCTCAGGGATTCGAGAGTCTGAGCAACTTGGCAAGACCTCGTCTCTGTAGTAAATCAAGAAATTAGCTGGGCATGGTGGTGCACGCCTGTAGTTCTAGCTACTTGGAAGGGTGAGGCGGGAGGATCCCCTGAGCCCAGCAGGTCGAGTCTGCAGTGGCTGTGAGCGTGTCACTGCCCTCCAGTCCGGGTGACAGACTGAGACTCCAACTCAAAGATAAAAAAAAAAAAAGAAAGAAAGAAAACCTCCTTCTTAAAGGTGTCTTTGTTGTTGTTCCTTAATCAGAGCAAGCATTATAGTTGGAGACATGGAGGCCATAGCTATAGTCGTCACAGCACATAAGACTCGAAGGTTTTTATTACAAAATGGAAATTCCTGTGCCTAAGCCAATCAGCAGCTTTCCCCCCCAGAATCAGGCTGTGTGTTTACTCCGAGAGTGAGAATAATTTGCTCTCTGGAAGGGCAGAAAGCCGAGGGCTGCTACTAGCTAGATCCATGTCCATCCTGTTCACGCAGTCAAGCCATCACGGTGACACGGGTTTTGCAAAAAAGAAAACATGTATTCGCAAGGCTGCCAAGTGAGGAGGCCAGAGGGCAGCCTTCAAATCCACCTCCCTGAGGAGACTTAGGGATACCTGTGGGTTAGGGGAGTGGAGGGTCTCAGGTGTGGGGAAGGGTGGTTGGCAGTGGGCAAAATGAAGTGGCAGATTCGCTCCGCGCAGGCATAGTCGGGGCTCATAGCATTCTATAGGATAAGTGTACAAAAAGTGGCAGAGTTGGCATGATCTGAGGGTAGAGTTTTTCAGTCCTTTAATGTCAGAGGTCACCTCTCAAACACTTGTGCAGACCCAGGTGAAGTATAGGTGGTCCAACTGAGCTGGACAGGGGCTGGCTTAAGCTCCCGAAAAACGACGGAAGTGACCATTGCCATGGCGACCTATGCATGGTGTTCATCAAGTAGCCAGTGAAGGCTAAGTGTCCGTGTTCAGTGGTGAGGCCTCCAGCTACATGTTCTTGCTTCCTGGAAAAAGGAAGAAAAATAACAAAATGTAAGCTACCAAAGGCAAGCTAGGTGGGCAGGCCTGATCAAATTAACTCCTCAGCTTCAGGGCCACCAGCCACTTTAGGAACCCCCGTGGACTGTTGACTTGTCCTGGAAGAACTTGGAGGGCAAGGGGGTTTGGTGAGCCCCAGTCCCAGTAAATCCTCCACAAACACCAGCCGAGTTTTGAAATAAAAATTTTGAAATAAAGAGTTTTAAGTATAAAAGAAAATTGCATATGCTAATCTCCTTACCTGAAAGATAAGCTTGGAATTAACTTTCCATGAAGTAGAGAGAACACACAATAGAACCTGGCAAAGTGTTAACGCATTTACCAAATTTGCTTGAAGTTACTATGGATTAAAACTTGATTTCTGGAATTCCTGGCCACTTTATCACACTTCCACCCCGCCCCACCACCGCCCATTAGAGGAAGTATTTGTTTGACATGTTTTAGAAAAACGAGATCTCCAAAGAGTTTTTCGTCTACTTACATTCTTTAAATCTATCCTCATAGACTGAAAGTCAGTTGCCAGCAACAACATCTTCGCCCTCTAAGAGCTACACATTTCTTCATATAAGTATCTGGCCAATGGGCAAACTGTGGTACCTTGTTGTAGGCAAGATCATTGTCTTTTGTCTGCCACATTTCATCACACTTTCTTCTTTTCTCTCATTCTTATTTGTCAGTCAGTAAACTCTCAAACATCTATTAAAATTAGTGTTTACAAAGAGTTTACAGTTACATATTTGTTATATTATGATTTTTTAAAAGACAGCCTAGGCAACATGGTGAGACTTCGTCTCTACAAAAATACAAAAATTAGCTGGGCGTGGT